GCCGCGGTCGTCCAATAGAGCAAATGATCGACCTCCATAGATTACGCCGGATAGGTTGCCGCGGCGAACGATGTTTGCCAAGGCTGGGAGCGATTGGAAAAAAACGAAGGGTGGTCAAACTAAGACCTGGCATGAGGGTATGAAAACCCTAACCAGGAGACTAGGTCACATAGGCCCCGTTAGGCTCCCTGGCTGGGGACCTCGGGATGATGGTCACTGATGGTTAGCTGCACTGAGTGATATGGCTGGGNCGTTCGTGCATCCACTCGTTATTCTCCTAACACCACTCTATATGAATTACCCATCTTCCGCTTGAATTTACTTCAACATTCCAATCTTCATTTTGCTCTTTTATCCAATTGGCAAACCAAAACCGGCGCACGAAAGTGCCTGGTTAATGGTTGTAAAAACTGAACTGAACTGATTTACCGTTTTTGTATCTATGATATTTCAGCCTTGCATCATCAATTTTATTTCATTCCGTCTAATTCACTCTGTTCGTTTGCGAACAAATATGAAGTAATTCTTCGATAAATTTCATACCCTCGTTTCGATTATGGAATTACGCTGTTTCGATATGTGGAAGTCCGCGCAGGAAGCAGTTGGTATTTGGAGCGTGTCCGGGGATTTGATAGGGCGTTCGCGATATCTTGGTGCCGACAGTGCCCTTGATCACGTGTTATCCTGTCAATGAATGTATCACGGGCGTCAAGATGCTTGGAAATAAAGAAATCAACTGAAACAACTATCAACTCCACTGTAGGGGGACAAAAAATTAAGGGATCTGAAAATAAAGAAGTCTTTTTCCTTCAGTTCAGGGTTAAAAATCAGGGAGCAGTATAGCCAGTGTGGAAAAATGCAGGCAGTCACAAACTTAATCATAAGCTTACGCGGTACGGCCAGTTTCCTGAGTCTGTAAGCATAGAAAAACAGTTTTCGAACTTTTGTGAAAACGTTGATAACATGAGCAGACCAGGATAGGGTAAGGGGTAAGGGTGACACGAAGGTGTTTAACAGATACAGATTTTGGAATACTTTGATTATTAATTCCAAGATCAGGGGGATTATTAACTAATGAAAGATAACGGGGACCGGTTTTAAGACTAAATGGAACTTTAATGCACTTACTGATGTTAAGTACAAGGGATCGGGTCGCAGACCAATCGTGAAGTTCATTAAGACTGTCCTAGAGAGGTCGAAAACTGTCTGAAGTGGGGCTGGGCAACCAATCACAATATCATCAGCTCACTTACAAGCAATAACGTTGGTTAGGGATGGGCAGATTTTGTATATACATGGACAACAAGAAAGGGGACAAAATGGCACCCTGAAAAACACCGGCTTCAACGTTGATAGAAGAAGACTGTACATCATTGAGAGAATTAAACTGGGTCCTACGGG